TCATGGCGAAAGAGAATTCAGGTACTTACTAAATAAATCATTATTTTCCTATTCCGCAGTGTATTCTCTTCAGGCTTCTATGTCTGTAATCGTTTTGGGTTTTCTTCTTAATATAGAGAAGAGCAAGGGGAGGAATGAAGAAAATGAGAATCATAAGAGCTCAGAGGTAACGAGTTAAAGAGAAACTTTTTCAACCCCTGCAATATTTAATCTTGTTTTTGAATTTTATCCAAACCCCACCCCCCAAATCTTGTTTTTGCCTCCTGTCCTGTTTTCCGAACCGTTATCGGAGCATGCCACAACCGCCACAGATTTATTAAATTTACGGGCATACCTACTATAACCGTCCCAGTAACAATACTTTTACCGGTAATTTTGGAAGTCACCACCAGATTCTTACCTCCGGCCGGCCGTCGCCAAACAGAACTGCTGCATTCTCACGGGTGCAGCAGCACTGCTTTGCTTTCGTTTTATGTTTCAAATCCCAATAAACCCACCAAAAACCCATCCCTGAAAAAGCTGAATAAGTTTTTCTGTATGCTTTTACCATGATTTCCCAAAATCTCACCAGGCAAATATTGCTCTGTTTTTCACCGGAGCTTTTTTCCTTAGAAAATGAAACTCAAGACCCACAAAAATAAATTTTCTAGAACTGTCAACTCGTAATAAACCAAATATTTGATCCCAGAATTCCTTTGACGACAAATGTACTGTTTCTTCAAATCTGATTATCTGACATTCGAATCTATGATCTGCTAAAAGTTCACACGGGTCCGTTCCGGGAGGAGAGAAACCCGTCGTTCACCTACCTACGCCGCCGCGATCAATCATCTCGCCGTCTGCTGTCCCTGGTCGCGGGAATTCCGAGCAGATATCTCACTCCCCTGACGCTAATGGCCACCTCATTCGCATCGGTAAGAGTCCTGTCTTTTCACTTATCTTGTTGACTTGTATCAGTTTTCTTCTTGTTTAATTTCACACCTCCAAATGTTTGCTTTTACATTTGGAACTTCCATGCTTAAAAAACTGAAATTGACGCTTCAGAAAGTTGCTTTTGACTTTTGAAGCTGCAAACTTTATTGGGGTGATTTTTCTTATTATTTAGATTCTGAATTTGGTAATTTTATAAAATGTACTCTTTCTCCCTATAATTATGTTTGTTCTATTTAGATTCAAGTATCCAACTGGAATGCACTTGGCCTTCCGGTCCAGTGATTTCAGATAACGTACAAATGTGTTTTCCCTCTTCAGGTAACGAATCGAATCTGGTACTTGTAAATTTGTTAAAATATATATATATATATATCCAACTGGAATGAAAGCCTAAATTTGGCTACCGCACACGTGTGCACAATTTTGTCCTGACCCATAATATGGTTTATTTTAATTGATTGTTTAAAAGATTTATTTTAACATGTAAGGTCATAGGTAAAGAGTATATTAATTATATTTTTTATAATAAATTTATATAAAAAATTATTTAATTACAATAATTTATATAATTTTAATATTAAAAATAATGTTTATTTTATTTTTTTCATAAAAATTTATTATAAAAAATTATAATTAACACACTATTAACACATACCACGTTACAAAAATCCATATTTAAAATAGCATCATGGAAGAAGAAAGGTACAGTGATGAGACTTGGCAGAAGATGCCTTAATTAATTAGTTGTTACTGGATGCAGAAAAGAAAGGAGCAAAAAATCTGGGAAGCGACACCAGAGTTAGGAAAAAACGAAGAAAGTCAAGGTTTCAGGTAGCTATATTTATATTTAATTATATATTATGACGAATGCAACTTGCTGTTTTGGTGTTTGTTAGCACTAGTTGTTAAATCGAATAAGCTACCAAAATAGTGTTGAATGAAAACAGAAAACAAAGGAAAAATTGAAGAGGTTGAAGGCAGAAGTAGAGGAGCAGACAGAAGAAACAAATCAAATGCAAGCTGCTGCTGAAGGGATTGAATTGGCGCTTGCTCATGGTTGGGCTGAGAATGAGTTGATGATGGAGCAAAACCTGCAGGACCAACATCTTCTTCTGATGCTTTACTGGAGATATTTCTTAGATTCAGATGCTGGTCCTGTGAATTGAGATGTTACCTTTGACACAGAAACAATATGGCAAGGAGAGCATATTGATTCAATTGAAGTTTACAGCTTCGTTGTTTATTTAGTCCTATGTTTGCTTGTCTTAATTCCTTTAATGTAATTTGTTCCTTGTTTGTTCTGTATGAAAATTTTCTTTCATAAATAAAATCCCCTCATGCTTTTTGCCAATTTCCAAGTTTGATGTTTGTATCTAAATCTGTACTTCCTTATGGTTTTTCTTAAAAGTAAAACTGATCTCTTGCATTCACATTCTGACTCAATCTTTAGAATTTAACTACCGCATACTTCTCTAACACTAAAAAAATAAAAATTTAGGAGCAGTCTCTCCAAATCTCTCAATTTTAAACTTAAATGAGTATTTATAAAATTATAAAAAAAACCTAATTGAAATAATTGTGGGACTCACATCAAAATAATAAGCTGAAAATCACATAAGGGGTCAACACCCTCAACAAGGTGCAGACACCTTTGAGAAAAGCCAATAGGGTCAAAACAGAGAAGAAACAGGAGAGTCACGTAAGACTTTAACAAACAAGGCAAAAACCAACATTTAACTTTTCACCTTCACCTTAAAAAGAAGTTGATGGGTTTTATCCATTTCCTTTATAATATAATAATTTTAATTTTTTATCTAATAAAATTAATAAATTTTAACTTATTATCTTATATTATAATATTTTTAACTTCTCACCGATACAAATTAAAAAAATAACCGTTATTTAATACCAAATTATAATATCCTATTAATTTTATTAATTGACTATTAACATCTATGAACATTTCGTTATTAAAAACATGAAATTTAAATTCAATTTTATTTGTTAATTTCATTAACGAAATGCTAACGGATACTAATAGTTAATTAACAATCAATTAATAAAACTAATAAAACATTATAACATAATGTTAAATAAAAATTATTTTCTTTAATTCAAACAAATAAAAAGTTAAAAATATCATAACAACATGAAATTTAAATTCAATTTTATTTGTTAATTCTATTAACAAAATGCTAACAGATACTAATAGTTAATTAACAATCAATTAATAAAACTAATAAAACATTATAACATAATGTTAAATAAAAATTATTTTCTTTAATTCGGACAAATAAAAAGTTAAAAATATCATAACATAAAGTGAAGAACTAAAACCTACCAACTTGATAGTGAGGGGTTAAAAAGTTGATTTTAGCCAACAAACAAACAATTGGTATGCACAAACACAATGAAGGACGTAAGAAGAAATGCACAATTAAAGGAACACACAATAGTAGATGCCACTATTAAAAACTCGTACAATAAATTGTTCAAAGACCTAGGCTTTAGATACTCAAGTATCTTGACAAAAACATACAACAGAACCGGTTTAGTAATATAACTTGGACTAAACACCATTCATAAACACACCGAATAGAAGCTTAAAGACAGGGCAAGTCGAATGAAGTTCTTTCCCATATACAGAAAAAAGACACACATTAGAGTACAACTGAACTTCAAACATTGCAGTGACTTCTTCCCTTTTTTTTCTCTTTTTTTTTTTTTTCAGTTATTGTGCGTTTTATTCTCTTGCCTTTTGGTACAAGGCAACTTAGGTAGACTTAATCTGCCTGTTCTGGTTGGCAATCAGTTCACTGTGATAAAAGGAAGAAGAAAAAATATTTTAACATCATGATCAAAATTTTTGAAATACAATTTTTATATATTTATATAGAGTTTGTCTAATATATGTTTTAAAAGTATAGATTAAAAAAGTTTTAAATGCAGTTTTTATGTATTACTTTACATAAAAAATAAAACAATTAACATCAATTTTAATATATATGACAATATATATTAATAATAAAAAAATATAATAAATGTACA